TTCGGAACTGGGGATTGAACTCAGTCCCTTGCGCTTGCCAGGGAAGCACTTATTCCACTGAGCTATCTCCCCAGCCCCTTTAATCCCATATTTTTAAAATGGAAATAATATAGGTGCTTTATGGAAAGTTTAAAAACCAGAAGAAAAAAACCCATCAAAATCCCATCTTTTGACCCAAAAAGAACCTTTTTTTACAGTGTGGGTACTTGGTGGCGTGGGTGAGGCCCTGGGCTCAAGCTTCAGCTCTGCAGAAGGAAACCAGACAAGAAACCTCTTCCTGCGGGACACACATCCCTGCTGCAGCTCGCCTGCTTGGCGCTGAGGGCCGCAGCCAGAGCAGCCGCAGAGCGCTTTTGCAGAACTGGAGTTGGGCCCAGGCCCTCCTGCACGCCAGGCCGCGCCGAGCTCCTGGCTCTCGCCTCTCTGTGTCCAAGGCCCACTGCAGCCCTTCACCCTGGAGCCGCACAGCCTGGTCCAGAACATCGTTTTAATGGTTATTTGATGCTTTCTGGTGAAAGTACTGTCACAGAATTAATCATCCTTTACGGGTCATTTGGGTTCCTGACACATTTTGCTGTCATGAATAATCCCGTTATGAACTCTTCCATGTTATAAGACTTTCCTGCTTTTAATAATTTTCTTAGGAGAGACGCCCAGAAGGAGATTATTAGGTCAGAGGAAATGAACGCTCTTGGCAGCTGGTGTGTGCTTCCCCAGGGCAGCGGAGGGTGGCAGGGAGCAGGGCTGCCAGCAGGCAGGACAGGCATGGGCCGGCTCCGTGGCCTGGGGCAAGCTTGTAGGGATGACAAAAGCCGCAGGTCCCCTTGAATCTGTATGGCTCCTCTCTTCACTCAGCACCCAAAGAAGTTGAGGAGGAGGAGGAGGAGACGCCCAGCCCCCCAGAACGCAGCACAGAGGCTCCGGAGCACCCTGAGGAGCCGCTTCTGGGGGAGCTGACGGTGACAGACACGTCCCCGGACTCCCTGAGCCTGTCCTGGACAGTGGCCCAGGGCCACTTCGATGCATTCAGCATCCAGTATAAGGACCGGTCTGGGCAGCTGCAGGTGCTGCGTGTGGGGGGCGAAGAGCGGGAGGCCACCGTGCGGGAGCTGGCTCCGGGGCGCAAGTACAAGATGAACCTGTATGGGCTAGGCCGGGACGGGCGCGTGGGCCCGGTGTCCACTGTGGCCACGACCGGTGAGTGGGGTCAGGTGGGGAGGGAGGGAGGGAGGAAAACTGGCTGTAGAAGTGTAGTCCTGAGGCACAGGACCAAGAAATTGGCAAGGACTACAGTCAAGGGAGGGCAGGGACACAGTGGCCTTATGGTCCTGCTCAAAAGCTGGGGCTTAGGGGAAGGTCAGAGGTCATGGCATAAATGGGTCAGAAAAGCTAAGGATGGTCAGATGGGTCAGGTGCAGGGGTGGCGCTGCCAAGGAGAGAGAGCGAGGCCGGCCCTGTGGCTGGCGACGCTCTGCTCTTCTGTGCTTAATTCTTGCAAAGGCTCCTTTGTGGGGCACTGAGGGCTGCAGACCTCACCTGTCCCCCTGTGTCTGTCCAGCTCCAGAGGAGGAAGCTATGACCACCCACGCGGTGCCTACCATGACCCCTGAGCCACCCCGAAAGCCACACCTGGGGGAGCTGATGGTGACAGGCACCAGCCCAGACTCTCTGAGCCTCTCCTGGACGGTCCCCGAGGGACACTTTGACCACTTCCTGCTCCAGTACAGGAACGGGGACGGGCAGCCCAAGGTGCTGCGGGTACCCGGCCACGAGGACCAGGTCACCATCTTGGGGCTGGAGCCCGACCACAACTACAAGGTGCACCTGTATGGCTTCCACAGCGGCCAGCGCGAGGGACCCGTGTCTGTCACCGGGGTGACAGGTGAGAGCATGGAGGGAGGCCCAGGGGACCCCGTGGAAGGCTCAGTCACTCGTCCTCTGGTGATGGCGAGCAGGACGCAGTGAGGCTGCATGGGGCTGAGGAGTGGCCCTGCGTCCTCCTGGGATGACTTCTGTCCCCAGGGGGAGCAGTTGAGGCCTTAGCTGTGTTGGTGACCGTCTGGTGCCCTGCTGTCCCAGGCACTCAGCCCAGGTTGTCACCTGTGAGCCAAGCAGGCTGCCCGGCCCCAGGTGGCTGCTCTGCCCTGAGCTTTTTCCCAGCCGTGGCCATGCTTCTCCCCGCTTGTCCTGTCCCTGAGCCCCAAGGATGTCCCCTGGAAGCTGCTTCACACTGTGTGTCCCCTTCTCAGCCCCAGAGGAGAAGAGACCCAGCCCCCTAGAACCCAGCACAGAGGCCCCAGAGCCCTCCGAGGAGCCGCTCCTGGGGGAGCTGACAGTGACAGACACGTCCCCGGACTCCCTGAGCCTGTCCTGGACAGTCGACCAAGGCCACTTCGATGCATTCAGCATCCAGTACAAGGACGAGGCCGGGCGGCCGCAGGTGCTGCGTGTGGGGGGCGAAGAGCGGCAGGCCACCGTGCGGGAGCTGGCTCCGGGACGCAAGTACAAGATGAACCTGTACGGGCTCGGCCGGGACGGGCGCGTGGGCCCGGTGTCCACTGTGGCCGTGACCGGTGAGTGCGCGGGGGCAGGCAAGCCGGGCCCCAGCCGTTGTTCCCCTCCCTGCCATCTTCTGCCAACACCCGTCCCTTCCCGGTGCTGCTTTGGGGCTGTGCCTAGCCTGCGCCTCCACAGGACAGAGGGCTGAGTGCTGATAATTTGGGCTCCCGGCAAGTTCTGGTCACGCTGTGGCCTGCTTAGCTGAGTAGCAAGGCACAGGCTTCACTCTCATAGAAGTCACCGCGGCCTCCAGATTGCCGTCCTGGCCTCAGGGCTGGGGCCCTTTTCCCAGGGGAGGACCTCGAGGTGCAGCGCCTGAGGGTCCCCCTGGAAGGTTACTCCCTCATCAGCCTGTCACTCCGCAAGCATCTTGGGTCCCACACAGACGCTAAGGCCTGTGTGTAGCTGTCCAGGGCGAAAGCCCGGGTGACTCCCTTGCGGAGCTGATGGCCTCTTGCTCCTTGCAGTGTGGCAGGCGCTGTGGGTGACCTGGTGAGAAGGTGGACGAGGAGTCATTCAGGGCCCTGGCTGGCGTGTGGTGACGGGGGTTTCTGAGGCAGTTTTGTCACCAGCTGCAGGGTGAGGGCTTCTCAGAAAGGGGTGTCTAGGAGAGGCCAGTCATGGTTGATGAGCAGCAGCCCCCCAAACTGAGCACCTTCGAGGAGATGCCTGGGGATTCGGGTCACCCTGAAAGTGTTCAGCTCGCCTGTGCAGAGACGTAGTCGTGGTGGGCTGTCTTGTGCGTCACGGTGACAGATGGGCTGTCTGGTACAGATGTGCCAGGGAATGCTCTCTGTGCAAGTGGCCCACACCGGAATAGACTGTGCCCGGTGGGGCCCAGGTGCTTCATGGTGGCAAGGCAATCTCATCTCTCTCAGGCTGCAGACGGCAAAGTGACCCAAGGAGGTTTATCTTGTCCCTGGCTCACAGAAAGCCTGCAATCAACCCCACACAGACTAGGACAGCGTGGCGACCCTGGGGCCAGGCAGGACTGAGCAGAGAAGCCTGAGCAGGCCTTCTGGGGACATGAGGGCGCGCCTTAGACTGAGGTCTGATGGTGTACGCTGGGGGACAGCTTTATGAGGGGCAACATATCAGGTCCAGCCTGAACGGACACAAGGAGGCTGGAGATAAAGCAACCACCTTGGAAAGTGGAGGAGAGGGCAGGGCAGCTTGGGAAGCTGGGGTCCCTGCTGAGGAGCTCTGTGTTGATGGGTGAGCCGCTACCTGAAACAGGGACCGCCCAGGGTCCTGGCCTAGAGCGGAGGGGTGTGAGGTGGCCAGAAAGGAGGCTAGGCCTCTCTGAGTGTGACAGCAGCTGTAGGGGGCACCGGTGGGCTTGGAAGGCAGGCCTAAGCCTAGTGAAAAGCAGAGAGCAGGACACAACAGGAGAGGGAGTCCCAGGGCTAAACCTTGTGCAGCCGGCTCGGAAGGAACCTTGTGCAGCTGAGGGGTAGGTGCCACGTGGGCACTGGTGGGAGTGGGCGAATGCAGGGGTGAACAGGGCCAGGTGCAGGAATGATGATGCCAGCGAAAGGAGGAGGTGGCAGTAGTTACCAGCACTCTGCTCTTCTGTGCTTAATTCTTGCAAAGGCTCCTTTGTGGGGCACTGAGGGCTGCAGACCTCACCTGCGCCCCTGTGTTGGTCCAGCTCCAGAGGAGGAAGCTATGACCACCCACGCGGTGCCTACCACGACCCCCGAGCCACCACTGAAGCCACGCCTGGGGGAGGTGACAGTGACAGAAGCCAGCCCGGACTCCCTGAGCCTCTCCTGGACGGTCCCCGAGGGACACTTTGACCACTTCCTGCTCCAGTACAGGAACGGGGACGGGCAGCCCAAGGTGCTGCGGGTACC